CCCATTCTACAAACTTTACTTAATAATCTAAAATAATTAACTTAATAAAATTTTTTAAAATATTAAAAATAAAAAAAGTTATCATCAAAGTCATATGAAAAATAATCTACATTAGACTTTACCCTTAAACAAAGTAAATTAATTTTTAGTATGTCAATTGTCTTAGAACAACTAGCACAAATCTGCCAATGGCATCTATTATATTTACTTCTTGTTTGTCTTTGATTTTTGACTATGTTACTTTTGTTCTTCATATTATTAAAACTCTGATGTTTGCAAGCATAATATCGATTTATACAGACACCATTATCATATTCTGACCTGCATATAACACTAACAAAATTCTGTGACCTCATATAGAAAGATATAAAACAGTCCAATTCATTTTAACTGCCAAATGTTTTTCTAACTACTGGCACATCTACTGTATCAATAAAGTCCTGATCACTTTAATTAAATTCTGATTAATTAAAGAAACCAATAATATCATATCAAAACAAAAAAAAAGATTTAACCTACTTTACTGATGTTGGTTGAACTATTTGTGCATCTATGGTTTCAATAAAACCTTGATCACTTTAATTAAATTTTTGTTAATTAAAAAACTAATAAAATTGAGTCAAAACAAAAACAAAATTGTTAACTTGTTTTAGAGTTGATACAAGTATAAATAAAAAAGTTTTTAAAAGATTTTATTAATGAAATATTATTTGAAATATTAATATCCTCAAGTATTTATAAAGGCAATAATATTATACTTTTATATAAGTGTTTGAATAAGAATCTAAAAATTAACTCATATAGTAATAAATAACTAATATAAGAATTTAATTAATGACTCAATATGCGAAATGAAACTTGGTAATTATTAAATAATAAAAGAAATATGTTGATACTGTAGTTGGTTGATAACGATAAATTAAACTCATTAATGTAAAATACTGTATTAGCACATTTTTAATAATTATAGTAACGATAAATAAAAGAAAATATAATAACACAGTAGCAACTAATCTACATGTTTTGTGATCATGAGCAGGTACATATAAAAAAATTTTTAAGATTTAATATATTATTCTAGTATTCGTGAATTTTACGAAACTGTATATCTATATGATTTTTAAGTTGGGGGTTTTTTTTTATATTGAATAATCGACAATGGGGGTAAATTAGTAAACCCGTACCCTACGGGTACAAATATATTAATTCTTTCTAATAAAGTAATGAATGTTGCTTTTATGGAAAATTGTTCAACATCCAATATGCATATAATTTAAATTGTATTAATTTTTAACGTTTTGTTTTAACCATGGGCCAGACTGGCGCAAAACTTTATGCAACTGCAATTTTCGAAGTTGGATGTTGTTATGACGAAGGAATTGGAGTTAAAAAGGACTTGCGTAAAGCCTTCGAATACTTTCAAACATCTGCAGAGATGGGACACGCTAATGGAATATGTAATGTTGGATATTGTTATCAAAATGGAATTGGAGTTGAAAAGGATGAAAATAAGGCATTTATTTATAATCAAAAATCTGCAGAGATGGGGAATTCTAATGGAACATTTAATGTTGGAATTTGTTATGGACAAGGAATTGGAGTTGAAAAGGATGAACATAAGGCATTTATTTATTATCAAAAATCTGCAGAGATGGGGAATTCTAATGGGACATTTAATGTTGGAATTTGTTATGGACAAGGAATTGGAGTTGAAAAGGATGAAAGCAAAGCATTCAATTATATTCAAAAATCTGCAGAGATGGGAAGTGCTATGGGAACATATAATGTCGGAGATTGTTATCAAAATGGAATTGGAATTGAAAAGGATAAAAAAAAGGCATTCGAATATTATCAAAAATCTGCAGAGATGGGAGACGCTCGTGGAATATATAATGTTGGAGTTTGCTATAAAAAAGGAATTGGAATTGAAAAGGATGAACTTAAAGCATTTATTTATTATCAAAAATCTGCAGAGATGGGGCACGTTAAAGGAATATATAATGTTGGATGTTGTTATAAACATGGAACTGGAGTTGAAAAGAATGAACATAAGGCATTCATTTATTATCAAAAATCTGCAGAGATGGGGCACGCTGGTGGAACATGTAATGTTGGCAATTGTTATGATGAAGGTATTGGAGTTGAAAAGGATGAACATAAGGCATTCGAATACTATAAAAAATCTGCTGAGATGGGGAATTCTAATGGAACATTTAATGTTGGTTATTGTTATCGAAATGGAATTGGGGTTGAAAAGGACTTGCGTAAAGCTTTTGAATACTTTCAAACATCTGCAGAGATGGGACACGCTAATGGAATATGTAATGTTGGATATTGTTATCAAATTGGAATTGGAGTTGAAAAGGATGAACATAAGGCATTTATTTATTATCAAAAATCTGCAGAGATGGGGAATTCTGAGGGAACATTTAATGTTGGATGTTGTCATCAAAACGGAACTGCGGTTGAAAAGGATAAAAACAAAGCATTCATTTATATTCAAAAATCTGCAGAGCTGGGTCATGTTGAAGGAATATGTAAACTTGGTTATTTCTATAGAACTGGAATTGGAGTTGAAAAGGACTTGCGTAAAGCCTTCGAATATTATCAAAAAGCTGATAATATGAAATATAATCTGGGAGCACTTAGTCTTGGAGGATGTTACCAACATGGACTCGGAGTTGAAATAAATTTGAAAAAAGCTTTTGAAATGTATCTGAAGTCAGCTAAAATGGGTTACGCTGAAGGAATGGGTCTCGTTGGTTATTGTTATCGAAACGGAATCGGAACAAAAAAAGACCTAAAGGAATCTGAATATTGGTTTAAAATGTAAGCATTTTTCTTAATTCTTATAAAAAAAATCAAATAATATTAATAATTTAAAAATAGGGAAAGAAGCAAGTTTCAAGGTAAGAATCTTGTAGGTTATTTTTATTTGTGTTGATATTTAATATTTTAACTTAAATTTAAACAGAAATAGAGAAATTCACTTATGCTGGTACAGATGATAATGTTAAAAAAATATTGGAAGATGAAAAGTATCAATTATTATGGATCCCATATGATAAATTCAACAATATTAAAGAGATTGGAAAAGGTGGATTTGCAACCGTTTATCGTGCTGATTGCGGAATTGTTTATAAGGAGGTCTCCTTCAGCAATTATTCATTCGCACTTAAAATGATTCATGATCAGAGTTTCTTTACTGAGGTAAATAGATTTATTGAGTTTATTTAATGTGTAAATTATATAATTAATATTTTCCTTTTTTAAAGTTGAAATTGTTTTGTGAGATTGGATATAAAAATCCATCGTTCTTAAGATGCTATGGGATATCGAGAGATGATTCAGGAAATTATATTCTTATTTTGAAATATGCAAAAAAGGGTTCTTTACGTAATAATCTTCGTGAAGTATCACAAATGAAATGGGAAAAGAAATTAAATTTATTAAGTTGCATAGCATCTGATCTTGAAGCTATTCATTCACAAGGATATATTCATAAAGATTTGCATAGCGGTAACATCTTACAAGATGATTTAGATAATGCATATATCACTGATTTAGGTCTTGCATCGCCTGCTAAAAGCGATACCGAAATTGTTGGAATATTACCTTATATTTCACCAGAAGTTTTATCACGTCAACCATCTACACAAGCAGCAGATATCTATTCATTTGGTATAATTATGTGGGAAATCTTAACGGGAGAAGAAGTTTTCAATGATTACGAGTTTAACAATGATTTGGCAATAAATATTTGTTTGGGAATGCGACCAGAATTCGCACCCGGGGCTCCAGAATGTTACGTTGAATTAGCTAAGAAATGTATGGACTCTGAACCAAAAGAAAGACCTACTGCTACATATATTAATGAGTTAATTACTACTTGGATCGACGAACTTACGCATGAAAGCAATGAAAGAATAATCAAAAATCAATTCTTAGAAGCTGATAATATGGATAAAACTGATCAGATGGATAAAAAACTACCAAGTATCGTGCAAAAACATACAGAACATAATAAATACGCTTCAAAGCCCATTAACATGCAAGAGATCGCGAAAGCATTATCAAAAATGGCAATTGTCAGCGTTCCGGTGGATATCGTGGAAATTCCAGAAGAGTGATGAAATCGCTAATTAAAAAAAAAAGCATGATTCTTTATTATTGTAATTAAAAAAATAAATTCACAAAAATGAATTTTAAATCCACCTCCTGCATGATCTTGTGTAGTTTAGATCGTTGAATTTACGACCAACCGATGAATTAATTTGGCTGAAAATTTTTAAATTAAATAGTCAGTTTTTTATCAGATAAGTTTGGTCATCGGGAAGAGTTAGTGATTTGCGTCCCGTAATACACTTATATATAAATATGTATTTATAACCATTTCGTTCAAATGTTAAACCTTTTTAATAAATTTATATGAAAAAAAAACAATTTCTAAAAATCCATTTTTAAAATTGGACCCTTATTCGAAAA